GCTCTGAGGGACCGAGGCTGCCACACAGACCCACAGAGGCCCGCCCTGGCCTAGGGTTGGCAGATCTTTTCAGGTGTCCCAACCTGGAAAGGCAGGCCTTGTGCCCCATCCTCTGAGGGCCACCGAGCGTGTGTGCCACTGTCTGCTGTCTGTGCAAGTACTCCTGGGCTAGAGGGTCCCCGCTTCTGCCCAAGGTGGTTTTCTGCCTGCCCCCCCCCCTCTCTCTCTCACACACACACACACACACACAGTGGGGACACTCGGCCTCCTCGGAGCTTGCTTTTGGCCATCACTGGGCGCCTCCCAGACACAGAGCAGTCACTCTGGTATTGGTGCACTGAACCCAAGAGCTTCTCCCTGGACCAGTCGTCAGCTGGAAGAAGCCTTCCAGGGCTAGTCGCCAGGCCAGCCTTCCTCTGCCTTTTCCCGCCCCAGTGCAGGCAGGTGTCCTCAGTGCAGAGCTGGGGCCTAGGCCAGAGCCCTTCCCCCAGTGTCAGTTCAGCTGTGGCAGATCTGCTTTTCTCCCCCACCCCCACCCCCCCACAGAGGCCCCCCTGGGCCTGGTGGCTCTGGCCCCTGAAAAGGGGTGGGAGCAAGGGTTCCCATTCCTGGGCCTGGAAGCCAAGCCCTGTGTTCACATGGGCTTGCTCTCCCCAGAGCACCCCCCACCACCACCACGCAGTCGCTGGAGGGCAGGATTAAGCTGCAAAGCAGCACTAACCCCTTTGACACTGGGGAAACGGAAGCACCAGAGCCCTCTGGGAAGGTCACTCCCCACCCTTGGGACGGACAGAGCCACCCCCAGCCTGGGCAGAATGGTCCAGGTTTGACCCTGGGTTTCTCCACGGAGCCGCCAGGGCTCTGTCTCCTGCTCCCCGACACCGTGCAGAAGGGTTGCCCACCATGGTGTGACTGCTCGCTCACAGGGGAAGGGCAGTCGCCCCAGAACGCACCGGCCACTTCTGTGAGTGATGGTAGTATGTCTGCATATGCTGGGGTCCTCACAGGGTTCTCTCCCTGCTCCCAAAATTCTAGGCTCCCATCATCCTTAGAGTTTGTAAGAAAGACAAAGCTCTGGCCCCTTCCTGTGCCCGCCCTGCTGACTGGTAAGCTGAGCCAAAGGCTTGCATTCCAAACATTCCGATTCCAAGGAGGCCAGGCTGGCGGGTGGCTTAGCCAGCACTGCCTTGTCCCAGAGCACAGGGTTCACTCCGTAGGGGCTCCGGCTTTCCTCCGGAGCCAGGGCAGATCCGCCCTGCAGCCCTCCTGCCTGCCCGCCTGTCCCTCTGACACAGTCCCCACAGGCCCAGCTGCACCTCCCACTCTGTCCTCACTGATGTGTCCTGACTGGAAGTGACAGTGCCACCCTGCCACCCCCTTCCCCTGGGCCCTGTGTAGGAGGGACTCCCCTCCACCTGCGGGTCCCTCTGTTTGTGTGTCTGAAGTTTCCCGCACATGTGCACACGTCTCCCCCGGTCACCTTGTGGGTGTCACCCTTCAGTGTCCTGGGCAGAAGAAGCAGAGGCCTTGCGGCCCTGTGGGTGCTGCCGCCCTGCTCTCCAATGTTGCCCAAACGCTCTCCATGGGCCAGGCCCGGGCTCTGTGAGCTGGAACTTGCTCATTCTGAGTCACAGCCCAGAACACAGGGACCGTGGAGGCTGGGGGATACTTGCCCGCAGGCAGACAGCTGGTTGTTGTGGGGCAGAGGGGGCATGGGGGGAATGGCACTCAGTTTCTCTGGTCTCTGCCTCTTTCCTGTTCTTCCACCTCTGCCAGTAAGCTGTTTGAGGTGGGAGCAGACACCCCAGTCTTAGCCATCCCACACCCACCCCCACAGAAGCTCCATGCATGATAGGCCGCCAGGAGGGGAGTAGCTGCCCTTTC